GAACCTGGGGGCTTCGAAGAACATGAGGGTGCCAGGAGAAGTTTAAAAAGCAAATTCAGGTTTTTATCTTAGCATTTGTGTCTATGATTCAACCTAATACTTATTTTTCCCCATCTGATTTTATAAGTTGTTTTTTTAAAAAAAAAAAAAAGAAAATGGAAAGAGCTGTGTTGAAAGAAAAGGACGGCCAAAAACTCCTTCACTAGCTAAGCTAATGAACGTGGGTTCCTACACACAGCATACACGATGACCTTCATCTTTCTCCCTGCACCCTTCCCAAAGTCTCTACATTTGCCTTCTACACCGCCAACTCTGTTCCAGCGATAGTAACTTTTTCCTTTAATTTTTTTTTGCTTCATTTCACAGCCTCTCGTGAACGGAACACAGCAGAAACCCACGAACACAAGTGAAGCTTTTGAAGTCCCAGTGCACACAGAAGTTCAAAATGAAATGGCTCATCCATCAGTCTCCTCTTGTAAGCAAATAACGAGGGGAATGTCAAACCATGCTCTTTTTCCTTAGAAAAACTAAATCTGCCTATAGTCACTAGGGCTTCATCACCCCCTTCCAAGGCTGGCTCTCAGCAGGGGAAAGGGAACCGCAGCCCTGGGCACGCAGGACCATCATCACAGGGACAGTGGGACACCTCGGCACAGGGTGGAGAGACCCCCCACACCTACGACGCACTCGGGCTGTTCCAGATAGATACAGGGACTGCTTTTGAAACTGGTTTCTGCCTACAACCACGGTGTCCCTCTCCCACGAGCCTCCTGGTCTTGCCAAGTAAATGAGGGAAAGCAGCATGAAGGCATGTTCTGTTTGCTGATGAGGAGGGTCACATCGCGTGGACAGCTGCTCCCCGGCACACGTCCTTCCCCACACGGGCACCAACTGTGCACCGCTGTGTGCACATATAAATAAAATACACACTTCTTTCTGTTTGTTTGGGAGTCTGAGGGAATATTAAAATAGGTGACTCCTATAGGTCACCTACTGTGCAAGTCCACCCTTGCTTCTAAGAATATCAAAACCCTGAAACCCATGTTCCTCATCCTTGGGGCGCAGTGTTGCATTTCTTCTATCACACCTTCAACAGAGAATCAGAGAATAACCATTCATGGGTTGGAAGGGACCTTAAAGATCATCTAGTTCCAACTCCCCTGCCATGGGCAGAGACACCTTCCACTATACCAGGTTGCTCAAAGCCTCATCCAACCTGGCCTTGAACACGTCCAAGGATGAGGCAGCCACAACTTCTCTGGGCAACCTGGTCCAGTGCCTCACTACCCTCAGAGGGAAGAATTTTTTCCTTAGATCCAATCAAAATCTCCCCTCTCAGTTTAAAACCATTGCCCCTTGTCCTATCACTAAAAATCCTTGCAGAAAGTCCCTCTCCAGCTTTCTTGTAGCCCCTTTAAGTACTGGAAGGCTGCTGGAAGGTCTCCCTGGAGCCTTCTCTTCTCCAGGCTGAACGACCCCAACTCTCTCAGCCTGTCTCCATAGCAGAGGTGCTCCAGCCCTCGGATCATCTTTGTAGCCCTCCTCTGGACCCACTCCAACAGCTCCATGTCCTCCTTCTGTTGGGGACCCCAGAGCTGAACACAGCACTGCAGAGGGGGTCTCATGAGAGCAGAGTAGAGGAACAGAATCACCTCCCTTGACCTGCTGCCCACACAAGAAGTCTGAAACAAGCATCACATCTGAGCTAGCCCTTGGACAATGCTGTTTGGCAACGCTGAAGCTCTGTCAGTAGTTTAGTTTTAGGTAAATCCTGCAAGGAGTTGGACTCGATCCCTACGGGTCCCTTCCAGCTTGAGATATTCTATGATTCTATGGGTACCACAAGTGGCCACCACCATAAGACACTCATGCATTTAAGTATCAGGTTATACCGATGCACTTGAAAAGAGCACGCTCAATTTCTCCTCCCTCTCATCCTGAAATTACGTTATTTCAGGGATTTCAGTGGAAGTTTGCCTGAAGCAAAGGGAGAATAGATCCAGGGATGTGCCCTTGCAAAGCAAGCAAAGCTTCTCCTGGGTTTTTCCCTAGGGCAAACATGGTTTTTCAAACAACAGATTTGACACAGGCATCGCACCCAGATGGTGGCCAGGAGAAGTACATAAAACCATTTAAACAAAATCAATTATGGAGACTGTAAAGGTGCTTGGATTTATATTTTATAACAAGGTCTCTAAACTTTCTAGCCTGCAAAGTTCCATCTCAAAGTCCAGGACAAGCTACAATACAGCCTTCTACTCCTTATAAACCAATTTAGTCTTGTTGATGCAGTCACGAATCCACAGATCTGCAATACAGGTGTTTCACTGAGTACTACACTAAGCTGTTAGAAATCTAATTTCCAGAAGGAGCACAGACTCCTTTCTACATATATTTCATAATAGTAATGAGTATATTTGATTCTGCTTGAGATTTTTTTAAATTCTGATTCCACTGTTAAATTAAAGAAAAAGGTGGCTAAAGCCCTCTAGCTAACTTACTTTGAAGTTTTTAAGACTTCTTTGTAACGCTCTACCTGCAAAGAAAATTTCTTTTACAGAGTTTACGCTGTGCCAACAAAGTAGAGGAGTCTTTAAAAATGTCTTTGTTTAAACTTTTTAAAAGCCACCGTGGGTGAAGATACCTCAACCCTCCTTTAAGTGATTAGAGGCTTTCACTGAAGAGCCCCAGGAAACTCGCAGGATGGTCACATGGGTTGCAGAGTCCTCCTGGGCAGATCGGTTGTTTGCATAAAATTACAAGGAAAATAATTTTCTACCTCCCATCCTTGATTTCATCTCTTTTTAAACTATTATCCCCCAATTTACATCAAGTCTTTCAACACAAATCCAAATCCAAACTCAAGAACAGTAATTTATTTCAAAAATACAAAGAAAAAAAATCCTTTTACAAGGAAAATTACTAGCATACCGAAGAAAAACAAGTTTCAAATAGGTATTAGCATGTGGTAAATGTTATCCTCCTGCATTTCTTTCTCCCTAGAGTATCAGGGAAGATGCAGCATAAAGCGTTGTCATGAAATAATGAAGTCATGTTTGGAAACAGTGAGTTATTTCAGGTAAGCCTTTGTGTTGCCAAACTAGAATGTAGCAGCACTTAAGACTGTCACTTTTTATAATGTTTGCCTATAAACTTTTTCCAGTGTGGGTTTGAAATAGTGCCCAAAAGCAAACAGGGAACAGGTGGGATTCTGAGGCACGAGTCCACCCAACAGCTTCACTGCAAAAATCAACCAGTTCGAACTGCTAAAAAATTCCCAGCAGCACATAAACAACCTACACTGCAAAGTTAACTCTCTCTCCAGGACACCGCACGAGGATTTTTTTTTTTTATGCTGCTCTGAAATTTAGGGACAAGTTTTGAACTCCTGTGCACACGGTACATCAGGATTCTTTCCCCACTTCCACGTCTTTGGAGCATACTGGAGAAATAAGGCTGCCAGTTTGCTCAGCTCTCCCTTGTACCCATCCTCCAGTGGTCTCAGCAGCATCCTCCTGAATTTTCCCCCAGTGAAAACAGCTAGATGGGAGAAGGAGGAGATAGCCCTGCAGAGCCTGCAGCATCAAGCAGAAGGCTTGATGATCTGGTACCATCACATCCATGTTCCTCCAGCCCTCCCTGAAGCTCTGTCCTTGGAACCATATCCCTCAGCCATCGCCATAAGCCCGTAAATCCACCCTTTGCTGGGCGAGCTCTGCATGGCCAGGGAAGGCGGTGGCATGGGATGCCTCTCTTAACAAGTCCTCCCGCAAATCCTAGAATTGTGGCATTAGTTCCCGCTGCGAAGGCATGTTACCTGCATGAACAACACCCGTCCATCACCCCTTAAAAAACAAACGAGCGACAAAAGCACGCGCAAAGCTTCTGGCGGCGTTCTTGAACGCTGGGGGAGAAGGGAGGGCACGTTGCTCCTGCTATTGTCTGCTCTCAGCTACATCCTTATTTGTAAAAGTGGTGCACACAATGTATTTAAACTTCATAGGTGGAGCAGTTGAACAATACCGCCACGGAAGACCAAGCTGCTGTTAAATAAACAGACGTGAACTTTTTCTTTGCCTGCTGGAACAGTCTCGCAGCACGGTTTATGCCAGCCAGCCATCAAATGGAGTAAATACTGTTTGTATAAAAAAGCCATGACCACAATAGAGGACTGGGGACATTCTGAATGCTCTATTTCAGATTATTATGAGATACGCGATTATATTCCAAATCATGCTTCTGTTCAAGATTCAGTCACTGAAACGAAGGATTTATACTTCCTTAGGTTTTAAATTATTATTGTCTCCCTTTATTAAAATGTTCACAAAGAGCTGCTTATCTTAAGGCTCAAAGGCATTTAGTTACTTAGTTACAGAGCCAAATAATTAAACAATCAGCTAATAGCTAACCCCAGCGAAGATTCTCACACAACTCTCCATGACACAAAACCCTCAGACCCCATCAAGCCACTTTCGCTTCAAAAGGCTTTAGTAAATAACTAAACACTCACCATAGTGTGCCCAGAGGGTCAACAGACCTGACCTGTCAGGAATTCAAGAGGTTCGTTGCAAAATTGAATGTCCCCACAGCGCACGCTGGGCTGCCAACCACTACCAACTCGTCCTGCTTCTCCTACCACTTCTCCTGTTTTTCCTGACATTGAGGAAGATCCAGCAAGACCAG